AAACAGAATATGCACTTATACTTTCTCCCACAGAAAACTCATTCCCTTCATCAATCTGATCAGAAACAGAAATGTTCATTTCACTAAGATTATATGAACGTTCAAGAAATGGAGAAACAATCAAGTAACCAGACCACAGTCCACAGAAGCCAGTCTCTGCCATCAATTCCTCTTTACTCACAGAAGCAGGGGCACCACCAAGCAGGTCCAGGGGGCACTGGCCATCCCCCAAAATTTGCTGCCCCTGCACAGAAGACGAGACATCAGGAGACACCAACAGAGAAACAGTCTGCGGATGGGCTGGGCATCAGGACATACGAGCAGCAGGTCAAGACTAAAGCAACTTGGAACTAAGAATAAGACCAAAGCCACTAAAAATACATGAAGCAACTGCAAACATTACACACACCAACAATCAACAGGCTTGAAAGTCTAAAAAACTGAAACTGCTGGGCACACTGACCCAGAAACATGATAGAGATACAATAAGACACAATAAAATAAAATAAATGATAATAAATCTATAAAAGTCTCAACAGGAAGCCCATTTAAACAACATACAGTGGTGTGGAAAAGAGTTTGTCATCTTCCTGATTTCCTGTTTTTAATGTTTCATCAAACAAATTTAAATATTAGACAAAAATAGCACAAGTAAACACAAAATGCAGTTTATAAATGAAGGTGTTTAATATCAAGGCTAAAATATTCAAACCCATATGGTCCTGTGTGAAACAGTGATTTTATAACATAAATTAACAGTGGTGAATGACATCTTTGGAGACTTGAGTTCAGTTTCTCTAGCCTCACACAGGCCTGGTGACTTAAATAGGACCTGCCTGACAAAGCAGAGTAGACCAAAAGGCTCTCAGAATCATATCATATCACGATCCTGCGACTCATCCAGAGGTCACAAAAAACAGCACAATATCCGAAGAACTGCTTGCCTCACTTCTCTCAGTTATGGACAGCGTTCATGACTCCAACATAAAAACAAGAGACTGGACAAAAATGACCTGCATGGCAAAGTTCCAAGACAAAAACCACTGTTGAACAAAAGGAACATTAAGGCTCGTCTCAGTGTTGCCAGAAAACATCTTGATGATCCCCACGAGTTTTGGGAAAATACTCTATGGACTGATGAGACAGAAGCTGAACCTTTTGGAAGGTGTGTGTCCCATTCATCTGCAGGAAAAGTAACACAACATTTCAGAATAGGAACATCATACCAAAATATGGTGGTGGCCCGGGGTTGTTGTACTGACTGAGGACCTGGAAGACTCACTGTGGTAAATGGAAGCATGAACGAGACTGTCTGGCCATCTGTTCATGACGTCAAGCTGAAGTTGGGTTCTGCAGCAGGACAATGATCCAAAACCATGCAGTGTGTTACATCCCAAAGACGTCTACGGGGTGAGGGGAGGAACATAAAACTAGAAAGAGAAATCAATATCAAGCTAGCCAAAAACATAAGCCTAATGAAAAAACAGGCAAACAAACCAAGGCTTCCAGAAACATCTGACATTCTGACAACCACAAAAATGGCCAAAGACCCTGAAGCGATATTTCAGTCAGCCTTGGAGAACATCTGTTGGCTGCAGGACTCGGACTTCAGCTTGCACTGGAACGTTCACGGCCGAATGTGAAATGGTGGGAATGAGAATCGGCACCTCCAAATCCGAGGCCATGGTCCTCAGCCTGAAAAGGGTGGAGTGCCCACTCCGAGTCAGGGACGAGTTCCTGCCCCAAGTAGAAGAGTTTAAGTATCTCGGAATCTTGTTCGCAAGTGACGGGAGAAGGGAGCAGGAGATCAATAGACGGACTGGTGCAGTGATGCGGACGCTGTACCGGTCTGTTGTGGTGAAGAGAGAGCTGAGTGTAAAAGCAAAGCTCTCAACATCAGGAAAGGAGACATGTCCCATCGTGACCGTTGATGGCTGAAAAGATGGAGCTTTCTACGATACAAAAGAGGAAGCCAGTAACAGAAAATAAGACCCTCAGAACCAGGCCACGTAGAACTCCTGGACTCTTGGAAGTTCAGCCACCCGGGAGGGGCTCAGAGTAGAGCCGCTGCTCCTCCACATCGAAAGGAGCCAGTTGAGGTGGTTCGGGCATCTGACAAGGATGCCTCCTGGGCGCCACCTGGGTGAGGTGTTCCGGGCATGTCCCACCGGGAGGAGGCCCCGGGGCAGACCCAGGACACGCTGGAGAGATTATATCTTTCGGCTGGCCTGGGAACGCCTTGGTGCTCCCCCGGATAAGCTGGAGGAGGTGGCTGGGGAGAGGGAGGTCAAAATCCTGACCTGAATCTGATTGAAATGCTGGGATTTTGTATGAAGCTGAGTTACATAAGCTGGAACAGTCACCCAGGTCATGGTCTTGAGAGCATGAAAATGACAGCTGGACATCTTAAGGGTCCTGCTGCAACCACATTTGTTTTATTCTAATAACACTCCTCCTCCTCCATCAGGGGTCACCACAGCAGATCATCTCCTTCCATTTCACCCCATCTCCAGTATCCTCCTCTGTCACACAAATCTTTTACAGATTGTTCTTCACTACATCCACAAATCCTCTTTGTGTTTTTTTTAACCTCCTACCACATTCAGGGTCTTTTGCCCAATGTACCCACAGTCCTTCCTCCTTATGTCCAAACCATCTTAACCTCGCCTCTCTAACTTAACCACATGTTTTGAGACAGAATAAATCAATATGTTGATCAATTCTAAAATCTTTTCAAAACAGATGATCATAAAGAGAGTCTCCTGATGTTTAATAATTCATATTTAATAGTTTTGCTCTTTGGTGCTGCTTTGTCTCAGGTGGTCTAAGAGCAGACAAAAGCTCTATGTGGTGTTTTGGGGCTATGGGGGGAGGAGGGAGCTGCAGAGAGCCAAGTAAGACTACAACTTTTAATTCCTGGTCTTTACTTAGTGTTGATTTAATAAATTAATCCTTATTTCTATAAATAACAGCTGCACCATCTAAAGTGGAAAGCTCTCCTAATAAGACCATATCAGTTATCTTTAATGCCCACATTGGTTTTTGGGCACCACATAGACAGCTAGCGGTTGAAGGATGACATGTAGCTATGTAATCAGTGGTCAGATTGGGAGTCTGATCAAATTTGATTGGAGGCAACTCCTCTACAGAGAGCTTACCAGAGTTGCTCATTTGGGAAAATTGATCTGAAACAAAAAAACAAAGGTGTATCCTCCGATGGCCAGGGCCCTGAAAGTAGGAGGAGCACATGGTGGAACCTATAGCAAATTATAGGGGAACTTGTCCCCGCTTACCTTTCAGTGTAAATATGAGCATACAGTATGTATATGAGGTGTTGCTCTGATTGTTTAACTGGGTCTGTCTAACCTGCTTGGCCCTGTGGCTTTCCCACACCAGATGTATGCACAGAGGTCACACATACAAACATCTTGAGAGGGAATCCTTATGCACTGAGAACATTGAACATGCCGAGCTGACATTATTTTTACTTTCCTGGGGTTGTATTAACAAATGGTTTCCTGGTTGTGGCTACAGATCTGGACACCTGCACTACTTTGTGGCTGCTATTTCTGCAGTTCATGGAAACCAATCTCAGAAAAGAGAAATCATATAATAAAGAAAATAATTGACACCAGAATATATTTCAGGTTATATATTTTATGTAGTAATACAAATAGCACAATTGGAAAAGGGTGTGCAAAAGTAATTACAGTCCTTGTTTTTGGCTTACATTGCATTCAACCCTATATTGTAACAGGCAAACACTCTGTGCAATGAATCCACACTTTGATGCTACTATCTCATACATTCTCATACATACAGTATCATTGTTCTCAGTTGCTTTTGACCATTGTTTACAGTCAAAATGTTGCAAATCCTGTCTTTTTAATCGATAGATGTGCTAAATTATATCTCAGCTGACCCAGTGAATTAGTTCTAACTAATTCAAATCAGTTTACATCCAGATTCACTGCATATTTGCAGTTTTATGCAAGTCAGATCAAATACGGTTGATTTTTCTGGCAAAGACATGACAGTAGTATATCTCATGCAGCAGTCACATAAATTACCATTTAAAAAGTCACTATTGTTTCTACAATGTCTAAACTTTAATTATGCATCTGGACCAAATAAAGACTTGTAAAGGTGGTCAAAAACTGTTACTGACATCTGTAGGTGAAAAGAAAAGAAGAAAAAATATGTTCAGATGCACACATGCTGAGAAAAAAGCTGTTCCTTTAACTCCATATCATATAGTGTGATCATGAAAAGGCTTCCACTGTCTTGGCTACCACAGTTAGTCAGATGGTGGTGTTGATGATGACACTGATCCTGTCTTAAGTCTGCAAAGCATGATTTGAATAAGCTGGCTTTTTTTTGGAACACCTGTTGGACACAGAAGATGTGAGAACTGAACACTTTTACCTACCAGGATATAGTCTGCACCCCCGTGAGGGGAAGAATAGATTCCACAAAAACAAAGTGCAAATGTCATGTAATCAGTCACTGCAGTAACATTTATGAAAGCCTGACTTCAACATAGGGGGAACTACCCAAAGCCCTTAATTATCATAAATGTCTTCAAGAAACAGAAGCTGAGGGACGTAAAGTTGTCCTCATAATCTTATGACCTGAACATCATCTTTGGAGAGATTGTAAACATGCTCTGCATGCAAAGATCATCGAAAACATCTCAGAACGTGAACAGTGGCTGAAAGTTCCTAAATCCAAAATGAAAACACTCAGAAAACATTTAGGTCAGCGGTCTCCAACCTTTTTTGTGCCACGGGCCGGTTTATGTCCGACAATATTTTCACGGCCTTTAAGGTGTTGCGGATAAGTACAACAAAATAAGACCAGTATCGGTACCAAAAAAAGAAGATTTATTCATAACACAGGAAAAGATCCAGGGAAACCGAGTTAACGATAAAAACGATTTAAAAAAATAACGATAAAAATGCTGAAAACCATAAATTTCGCTCCCGAGCCTCAACTCTCGCAGCCCGGTACCGAACGACTCACGGACCGGTCCGTGGCCCGGGGGTTGGGGAGCGCTGATTTAGAGTTGAGATACCTGCTAGAAAAAGTTCAACACTGATCTAGTTACTTAGTAGTTAATATGTGAGACAAGTACTTTTTGCATACAACTGTGTCGTCATCAAAGTACTACAACAATTAGGCACACGGGTTAGTAATTAATGAAAGAACAATACTGCAGATAATACAGAGCAACAGAAGATAGACTGACACACAGAACATGAAAAACCAGAACATGTATGTGCTGCATCCTCCCTTTGCTGTTGGTCACAGTAGGGATCAAACTGTAGGCTGAAGTATCACGTCAAGAATTTCAACACAACATTCGAACAAACAGTGCAGTGTATCTACAATCGAAGCCCATCATTTGCCAGCACCTAAAGCATGAACTTTAAAACTTTAATATATCAACAGCTTACTGATGGAAAAAGCAGGTGAAATGATGCAGTCGCTGTCAGACCGTTTGATGGTTAGTATTGATTTTGTAAAATGTTTAAGTTATAGTTGTTTTTTTAATTTTATTTTATATTTTGTGTTTTTTCCAAGTCCAAGAGCTTTGGGTAAAGTGTTGATAAATTTCATTAAGACATTAGTAGTTGTAATACTTGTAAGTTTATCATGCAACGTGTGATTAAATGTAAAACTCACTGCCACGTCAACACAAACTACTCAAAAACAAAGCAGATCAAAAATATCAAGACTTCAGATGAGCAAATATATTCATACAGTCATTAGCAGAATGAAAACATGCCAGGATCAGATCTCCTCTGGAATATCGTGAAGATCTGAAAAAAAGAGAACAAATATAAATTCAGACCTCTAACATCAGTTTAACAGTGCAGTATTTTAGTGTCAAGCATCCAAACATAACGGGGGGCGGAACAAATCAAATTAAAGCTCATGTGTTTTGTTTGAGGAATGAGGGATGAGGATACAAAGGCAGTCAATAAACTCGTTGGTGGCTGGACTTCTGGAGTCACCCAAGTTCTTTAAAGCTCTGAATGTTGTGGAGCTGTTCGGATTTATACAGCTTTGCAACGTTGCATGGAAATTGTGGGGAGTACCTCTGGACTGGCAAGTTGGCTGGGGTTGTTGTATAAAAAGCTAATTGTAAACATGTAACCCATCTTTTTTCTGGGAAATCAAAAAGTAAATGGTTTGGGAAACGGTGTGGCTATGTCTTTATATCCTAATCAGACAACCAAGTACAGTAAAAGGTCTTAAGTGTGGTATTTGCTTTTGGTTGCTGAGGAGAAGGGCTCAGACTAAAATGGAAGAAATCAAACGGGAACATTAGGAGTACCAAACCACATCAGCAGTTTGGTACATTTTTTTAGTTACATTTAGTTACATCTACAAATGACGATAAAGTTATTTTGTCAGAAAGTGTTTTGTAACATTTCTGTCCTGATGCTCAGTTATACACGTAAGTAAATCCCAAAAGCTTGACTCTGTTCATCAGGACGTTTTCAGTGGGAGAAACGTTTCGTCACTCATCCAGGTGACTTCTTCAGTCTCAGCTGACTGCAGGTCAGTAACTTGACCATTAGTATGCAAATTGTCATGACCAGTGATCAACAACCACCGATCAGTGGCCATGAGTCCCATTCACAGAGAGCTGGGGAATGGCTGCAATCACAGAAGAGCCACCTCGTCAGGCCAGGACTCTGCAGTCTATGCACACCTACAGGCCAGTGGACTCTTTCAATGATGAGGATGTAACATCCTGGACAGGGAGGAACGCTAGTTTGAGGGCGGAGTCAAGGAGGCCATTTACATGAAAAGGGAAAGACTATCTCTGAATGGAGGAGGGGCCTAAGGGTACATCTGTCACCATCTTACAATGCTGTGATTGCAGCCATTCCCCAGCTCTCTGTGAATGGTACTCATGGTTGTTGATCAATGATCATGACAATTTGGATATTAATGATCAAGGAACTGACCTCACAGCCCATTGTTCCTTCAGTGGGCTGGTTTCAGTCATTGTGTAAATGTCCTGTTTAAAGGTTTGAAGCCTGCAGTCAGCTGAGACTGAAGACGCCACCTGATGATGATGAAACGTTTCTCCCACTGAAAACGTCCTGATGAACAGAATCAAACATTCTAGTTTTCTTTAGTAAGGAAAAGTTATTACTATTTTTTACACAATAACAAAATTATTTTCAGAAAAAACAACTTGTTATTTTTCAATTAACACTCAATATGATTTGGGCTGTCACTTGAGAAACCGCTGTGCCAAAAACAAAAGAAATGGTAAATGGACAAGAAAGATATAGATACATAGACAGTAGTCGTCACGTCGTGTCTGTCTGTTACCTAACCTTTGGAGCTTTCAGATGCAGTCCCATCGTCATCATCATCTGACGTCACATATACCTCTAGGTCAATGACTTGCTGCAGGCTTGACTGGTGAACAGAATCTTGGTTGGCTTGCATGTTATAAACTCCAGACATCTCTGTTTCTGACTGCATTGACAAAGGCTTAGACATCTAGGAAAGAGCAAAGAAACATGAGTAATGGGTACAGAAAACACAGCTGATTTATAACAACCACCAGGTTTATTTTACTCCTCTCAGAGGTTGTTTCTTCGGGCTTTTCTGCCTCTTTGTCAAATGCTTAACTTCCAAAGATCAAACTATCTGCTCCGCGTTCGGTTATCAACCTAGCTCAGTCATCACCAGATCATCAGCCAGAGGTAGTGTGTCTGTTCTGTTCATGTTACCAGTCAGTTTGTTTTTCACAGCTATCCTTGTTGTCTGCTCTGATCGAGCATATGTGATGGTCTGTACTCCCATGGATGGCCTGCATCTCCTGGTAGCGTTGTTCCAACTTTCTGTAAATAAACCTGTGTGACCTTTTCCCTGTGTCCTCTGTGTGTGGGTTCATGATTCTGTTCATGACAGAAGGATCTGACCTCCATGGAGTTAAAATTTGTTTAAAATCTGTGTCTTGGCGCCCCTTGTTGCCCCTATTATACTATATCAGTATAAGTAATTTAACTTACCTGAGAGGCCTGTTCTCCATACCGCTGTGAAGCAGGTGCAACCCCACTGGTGGCTTTCATTTGTCGGACCTGCCTCTCTAGCTCAGCCCGGGCCCTCTCGCTGTCTTTGAACCGATTTTCTGCATCCCTCAGTCTCAGCAGCTCTTCCTGCAGCAGGCTGTGTTGTCTCTGCAGAAGCGCCAGTTCTCCTATGGTTGACAATACAGTGGCTTCCCGATGGCCTCCATCTCGCAACAGAGGGCGCCATACTTCACTTGGGGACATGGTGCCCTGCTGCTGCAGTAACAGCTCCAAGATTGAGTCTTGCTTAATAACAGCACCCTGTCATATTACAAGGAGTATCCAGTGTCAGATATTTTTGGTTTGTGACAGAGTCAAATACGAAGTGTGTCTGTTGTGTTGTGATGTTTTAGAAAGATTCCACAGTTGTGTTATTTTGTAAAGATGGATTCGCTTCTTTGTTTCTGGTAGATTTGACTTTTATTTACAAATATTTCAAACCAGTCGACCAAATAAGCACCAAAAGACTGCTGCGGATCAGCTTTAGTTTAGCTTTTACTGTGAAAAAATCAAAACATGTATAAATAAAGAAATATTAAGCGCTAAATGTACAGAAAGACATAAGAGAGAGAAATAGAAAAGTGATTAATTGCACATAAAAAAGTGGCAGGAGTGAGCAGCAGTTAGTGCAGTGTTGCACGGAGTGTGAGCTCATGCGTCTCATGTCTGCATGTCTTATGATGTCAGGCTCGTGTTGTCATGGCTACGTCTCTCAGTGTTTCCTGTTTTATTTTGTAGAGTCAGGAGTCTCCATGTTCAGTGTGTTTTGGTTTACTTCCCTGTGGTGTCCTTATGTTCAGCTGTTTCCTCGTGTGTTCCCGTGATCACCTCCTGTGTGCGTTCAGTCTGTGTCAGGTTGTCTGTTTGGTTTCACGTCATGTCACAGAGATCTAACTGCTCAGGTTCATGTTGGGTTTATTTCACAGTCCTATGGTCCCATGAACCTGTTCAGTTCCATGTCTCTCGCCACAGTTTCCATAGTTATTTAGTTTTCCCAGTTTAGGTTTCAGTTAGTTGTGGCTATGTTTTTGTATTCATGCTTACCAGCCATAATAAACATCTCGCTGTTTGTTTAAACCTTAGTCCCGTTTTCTTCTCTGTCTGAGATTGGGTCACTCTACACACCGTCAGCTCCCACTGACCGTGACAACACCTGCACTGCTACAACTGTCTGCTGGGACTGAACGACGCTGCATTCGTTCTGAAGACAGTCTGCAAGCTGGTAAACTGCCCAAGGAAGAAACTTCTGAGGCTGGATCCTGTCACACTGTCCTTTGTTCTTTTCACTTTTTTATAGCAATAACTGGATGAGACACTTCTGAGAGTAATCTTTTCGGTAAATGGACTGATTCTTATAGAGCGCTCTCCCGGAGTGCTCAAAGCGCTGTAGACAACACACCCACTCATACAAGCACTTCTAAACACAAGTGCAAACTAATCTCCACGCACCCTGATGTGAATGTTACCAAGCAGGTACTGTGTTAGGAGACCTGGGTCGTTGACGCAGAGTTTTGAGGGTTTTTTTACTATTGTACTTTGATTCTTATTATTTATTGTTTCTAGTCTTTTGGTTTCTTTCTTAATGTTCTGGTTTCTGTCTGTGTTTCTTGCTCTGTCTCCCCTGTCTGCTGCGTCCCCTTGAGAAGTCCATGTCTCTGTGTTATGTTTCCTGTTTTACTTTGAAAGTCTGTGTCTCATGTTAATGTATCTGGTTTTGCTTCCCCTGTCTCGTCAGCCCTGATTTGTCCCAGCTGTGTTTCCCTCCTGTCTCTCATTCCCTGACTGCTCCCTCTGTGTATTCAAGCCCTGTGTTTCTGGGTCAGTGTCGTGATCTATCATCCCTCCATGCTGTGTGGTCCGGCCTTCTGCCTGCCAGTTTAGTTTCCAGTGTTTCCAGTGTTTCCAGTGTAGCCAGTTGTGTCATGTAGAAATAAATCTTTATTTTGAGTCTGCACTTTTGGGTCCACCTTGCCATCACTACTGCCTGCACACAGCCTTCACATGACAGAAGATCGCGACCAGAACATGGACCCCGCAGACTGTTTCTGCTGGAGGTTCTGGAGAACCGCTCCTGTATGACGAGCCAGAGGATTTGCAGCCCGGTCAGCTGGAGGGTTCGTGGCCCGACCCACCCCCTTCCCAGAGTAAACAGCGTTCACGACGCCGCCACTCCAGAACGACTGAGCACACCCCATTCATGGGAGAAAGTGAATGTTTATTGCCCTCTCCACTCGAGCATTCCAACCCAACCTTGTGCAATTTCTTTCACTGTGAGCAAGACTGTTTTTCACTCAGAGGATTTATTCTGCCTGAATCGGTTGATTCAGAGAATGTAAGTCTTGTTCCCGCTGGAGGGTCCGAGGGGCCCATCCAGCATTCATCGCTTGCCACGCCACCATCTGCGGCTTCCATGCCGTCGCCTGGTCCTGCCGTCGCCTGTCTGGTCCTGCCGCACAGCCGGCCTCCAGACCTCCTTCGCCTGCGCCGCTGCCGCCATTGCCTTTCGCACAGTCGGCCTCGTGAACTGAACTGTTTTGGGCTGTTGTGCTGTCGACCTCTGGGCCCCCTGAACCTTTCAGGACTGTTTACTGTGTTCTTGAACATTTCATGGGCTTAGTTTTGGTTTGTTTTGGACTCTGGCTCCTTGTTTTTAGTTTGTTTCATGTGTTTTATTTGAATTATTTTCAATATTTCTTGAAGCTGCTAAATTTAGCAGCACTCAGTGCAGTTGTGGCAGTTGCCTGCCTTCATTTTAAAAGGTTTGTAATATAATTTTCAGGAATTTTAGTTAAAGAGGATTACAAAAGTGAACAGGAAATACTGAGTTAAGTTATGTCAACTAATTCCCCTCAGAGACATGCTTTTATAAAATGTAGTTATTAATCATGTTAGTTTTATCGTAGTCAAAAAGTACATGTAGTCAGAACATTGGCATTCAGATAAGCTTTAAAGTTTATCAACTTAACAAAACTAAGGTGAAGGTGACCTCGTACACAGTGTCTGTAACATGTGGTGTGGTGTATGGAGTGCTGTGGCATGTTAAGTCCGACTTACCTGGAGTGCATGAAGATAAACGCTGAGATTCACCAGCCTTTGGCAGATCTCCTGTCAGACACGAGCAGCTTACTTATTACTGACTTCTGTTTTAAATGCACTTTAAATAAACAGACATACTTTAAAAGTTACTTACCATTAGCGGTGACTTGTCTTGTCGCTTCGTGCATTCCTTTATTAGGCAAAAACGTTTTCCACAGACAGAGAGAGTGAAAACAGTTGAAGCAAAGTTATTACAGTTCAACAACTCAGAGAAACATTTCAGATTTTCCGCACAGATCCAGCTCGACCTGGATGGTTACTCTCATGACACGCCCACACAGGGACAGATCTAACAAGGAACCAGGGGACCCGAGGCACCAATGCCCCAGACCCCACACCCAACCCAGGAGCACCTACCAACACAAGTATCCCAGGCACCATTCAACACTGCAAGGCAACATCCACTCACGTCCCCCACCACCACAAATCAGGACAGACACACAGACGCCCCTAAAACAAGAGTCCAGTGACTTCAGTGTGAACTGGAGTCACTCTGTCCTGTCTTTATTATACAGGAGAGCTTTTTGTATTCATCAAAAACTATACTGAAATATCTGTAGTGGCTCGAAAATAAAAGAATGAAGGTCATACAATACATGACCTGCTGTGCTGATATTAAAATATGATTATTAGAGATATACTTGCAGTTAATGAAATTACTAAACACAAGTAAAGTTTGAATTTGACATTGAAAGCTAAATTCTTACTGACATTATTGATGTCAAAGATGAAAATTAAACTCTAGTTTTGCTGATAAAATAAAAGTCTCTGGACAAAATGACTCATCAGTCCCGTTAACTTTACTATATGCAACACAAACCAAATCTGAGACCATGTTCAGTTCCATAACTGCACCTCCAAACCCTTTCCCATCATCAACTCTTTGTCCTCACCTTTGCTGCAATAAAATGCTGGGCTCCATTGACCAACAGCTCTTGGTCACCTGAGAAGAGACAAAACACACTCAGTACTTGTCTTGGAGCGATATGTGCAATTTAACCTTTATTTTTTTAAAAACAGAAGCTTTTTTATGTAATTCTAAGTTGTTGTTGTAACATAGTTTTCTGGTATCACTTTATAATGATGTCACACTATTAAGCATTAGTAAGGTAAGTATGCTTAATTCATCATTTATAAAGTGTTACTCTTCATTAGTATGTAATTTATAAATGTGGATATAAGTGTTTATTCTAGACTAAAAAGCTCACTCATAAGGTGCCCATGGTATATTTAGTGTAAATCAGTGACTGAGTGTTTTAAAGGTTTTCTTAATACTTCAGATTATAATTCATGGTTAATTCAGGCAGTTACCAGCAGGCCTGGACTGGTAATCTGGCATACCGAGTATTTGGATGGTGGCCCAGTGCACATGTGGGCTGATGTGTCCACATATTTTCTTTCCTTTGTCGTTGTAATTATACTGTCCAGTAAGCAGCATGAAGACCCGCTGCACATCGCACTGACAGCAGTTCATTTTCATTACTGACACCAAATCACCCAATCACATTCCTTACTGCAACCAGCCCCTCCCCTACTTTCCATGAATTCATGCACCTTTTTGAGAATTCAGATTTATGTGGCCATTAAATAGCAGTATTTACTGACTGAGTGCAGTAACATGCTAGGGAAATCAAGGCTCCATGATAACGCTCATTGATTTGGGATTCTCCTTCATGGTGGAGAACCACCTCGTAACCTGATCTCCTCCTCGCCCCACAGAGCTGCTCTGAGTTCTCACTGAATGAGGAGGAGGTGGAGTCCTTACTTCTTTCATTTAAGCTGTTCACCTGTGTGAAACCGCTATTTAGTCTAATTCAGCTGGACTAAAGCTAACAGACCACACCAGACGAAAGCTGAACCTCGGGAACGATCTAAAGAAGTTCCAAAGTCTCAAACATTCCAGAGAAATTTTCCTGCATTACCAGTTTAATATGATGGACCCTTTCTTTATATTGTATACACGTATTTGTGAAGCTCTGTGAAAGATTTATTATTGTTTTGTAAAAACAATGTTCATGTTTTGTGTTAAATGAAGAAATCTTTGTATGTTTAAGTTGAGCTGTCCTGTGGCTCCACCTCCTTGGTGCATCTTCCTCTTAAACCCCGCCTACAAACCTGCATTATTGTGCAAAGCTCAGGTGTGTTATGTTTGCATCTGTATGTTCTGCACTTCTTTCTGTGTTGTCTGCGTCATGTCTCTGTTGGGAAAATAGCTGAGACGTAAATAACCTTCACTTCACAATTAACAAATAGTAATTGTCTTAATTAACCATGAATTACACTATGAAACCAGCATTTATAAAACCTCTATTAACCTCACAAACAATGAGCTCATATCTTAATCATCTTAATCATTATATAGAGGAATGGGCGTCCAAATACTTTGTTATTTATGTATTTAGAAAGGTTACCAGAACACATTATGAGCTTATTAATCAAGAATGAACATTTATATCTGTATTCATACATTACATACTAAATAGGAGTGTTGTGTTCCAAATGATGATCAAAGCACTTACTAATACCTAACTAATGCCTGATAGTGCCACATTATAGGTTGTTACTATTTTTCTTAATGTATAAATCCATAATTAATTCAGTCAAACTTAAGATGATCATGAATGAGAGACTGAAACGCTGACTTACTACAGTCTACCACCTCCATGTGGCTGTGATGGCACAAAAGGCGGGTGTCCATGCTGAAGCCCAGAAGGAGTTCACTCAGCCTGTCCACTGTGAGGACACACACACACACACACACACACATGCACGCGCACACACAAACACAAACACACACACATTTCTATTAACTTTACATCTTTTTCTATTTTTCTGTTCCCATGTTGATTCTTCCTGCATGTCTTGTGTTTGATCTCCTCTCTGTGTCAAAACTGCAGCATGTCAGATGTATATATAGTGCGTCAGTCAATGGTAAGTGAGCTCGATATGGCCAAAACAGCTGTTAACTTCCAAAGGGTCGTCGCGTCTCTTCTTAACCTAACTTCAACAACTCTTTGCTAAAGTTTCTTCCTTTCTCATCAACTTTATCCCCTGTAGTTACCACAGCTCTGCTCATCACCCTTGTTTTGAAAATTGCTACCAGTTCACTATTCCTCAGACATCCTCTCAGTTCCTCCACACGTACATCATCTAGATCAGGGGTGGGCAACTCCAGGCCTGGAGGGCCGGTGTCCTGCAGGTTTTAGATCTCACCCTGGGTCATCACACCTGAATCACATGATTAGTTCGTTACCAGGCCTCTGGAGAACTTCAGGACATGTTGAGGAGCTAATTTAGCCCTTTAAATCAGCTGTGTTGGTTCGAGGACACATCTAAAACCTGCAGGGACACCGGTTGCCCACCCCTGATCAGACCATTTGCCTTCCACTCTTCATCTTCTTCATAGCTGCCTCCTTACTTACAATGATCCTCTGTACTTGCCGTATCTGTCCTGCTCTCGCTCTCATTTTCTTTATTGATCAGCTCATCAAACTCCTTCCATCTCAACACACTTTCTTTACTCACAGCAGACAGCACACTGTAAGCCTTTGCCTCTCTATCTCTTATTTGATGTACATTTAGTTCTTGCTCATTCAGTCTGTTTCCAGACGATACATAAAATACTGTAGTACAGTTTTAAAGGTCACTTCAGAAAAAATTCAGGGAGAAAAAGTGGATGTAGGAGTTTGGGTAGTAAATATTTTCATTCTTGTTTGCTACAAAATGTTTGTTTTTACTCATACTTCTAATTAAAATTATGTGAAGTTATGTACAAAAACAGTTATTTATTTTTTTGTTGAGTTCGATCAGATATTCACCTTCACATGTGAAGCATGCTAATGTGAAACGTGGATAGTTACCCTCAGATGTGGCATCCAGTAATAGTTTTTCAGCACGAGGAGCTTGTGGTGTGTCAGCCCTAAACAAGTAGCGAGTGATGGGAGGCTGCAGGCTCTCCTGGCCACTTGTCACCTCTGCCAGTTCACAGAATAAAGTCACTCTTTCCTGCAGGAGCTCCAGCATCTCCTGGTCCTTGTGCTGCAGGTCAGCTGATTGGATGACAATCAATCAGTCATCAGTCTAAAACAGACGTGCAGAAAAACAAAGCCTGCCTCTTCACAGGTCTCCCTGGTTCATGTTGATCTGACAGAAAGGTCGGGCAGACCCCAGCCTTCACTGGACAAAATGAAAATGCTGATGCAGGACGCTTTAGTTTGAAATACAGTTCATGTAAATAACTATTCAGTTCAATTTTCAGTTTAATTTTATTTGTATGAAACAAGCTCAGACATGGTCTAAACAGGAGGAGACCAGTGCAGCTATGACTGTGGAGCAGAAACGGTTTTTCCTGCTGATTCTTTGGTCGACTTGTTATTTGTTCATATCTTCATTTAACTTCCTAGTTTTAGTTTGTCCTGTTCTCAGTTCTTGGTTGTTGAGAGTTTAGTTCCACTCTTGTGCCAATTCCCCGATAAGTTCATGTCTGTTTCCTCGTTTAGTCACGTGCTTCACTTCCTCTGCTTCTGGTTAGATGTCACTGCTCCAAAATTGTTTGCAATCAATACATCAGAAAAAAAGCAGTTTGATCAGAGAAATTCTGTGAGGCATTTGATGGTTTTACCGTTACCAAAGCTGCTTTGCTCTTTATGATTTTACTGTTTACTGTTGTTCCAAACTTGTGAAATGCTGCCTTCTTGTGCAAAAGCATTTACTGTGGGCAAAAACGCAATCCAAGATAATACTGGCATGTCAGAAGATCTAAATAATTCCTGACACTAGCACAGATGTTCTGCCTGTGGATACTACAGCAGTTTACATTTTTAGATCAGGTTTGGTATGTTTGATACTCTGACAGGGCCTTTGGATTTGGTTTGGAGATCACAGTGATGTTCGGTCCAGTGGAACCTCTGTATTTGGTAAAAGTATGGAAACCTTTAAATAACTATTTAGGACCAAAAGGGTGAAAGAAAACCTGAGTATTCATCTTTTTGGTTAAAGTTTGTGGTAGAGAACACGTAGCCACCAGTAAGACTAAGCTACCATGTCGTCTTTTTCTGGTTCCCAGGTATTTGAAATGTGAATGTAATTCAGTTAGTCTGTATATTCTCCTGACCTTTGAGCCTCCTCAGGTGAGCCTTGTGTTCCGACTCTATCAGGGGAAACTCCTCTCTTGATGGACACCTGAACACACAAAATCCAGACCACACATGCCGTCTTATCAGTCACATAACAGACACGAACGTTTTAGATTTGTCGGTTTTTTGTTCATAAACTAATTAGTAGACATTTATACCTCAATAATTAAACAGTTTATCACAACTTGGGTCTCATTTTTGTAACTCGACTTTATTACCCTGCCCTCACCTATGGTTACAAGCTCTGGGTAGTGACCAAAAAACGGGTACAGACAGAAATGAGCTTCCCCTGAAGAGTGTCTGGCCTCTGGGGTGAGGAGCTCAGCCATCTGGGAGTTATTATTAGTATTATTATTATTATTATATAGGAACCAGTGTGCCGACCTCATAACCTAGGAGGAAAGTACAGGCTCTATGAAAAACATGCTGCAATTATTCTGCTCTGCAAATGCGAATAAATGTTTGTGTTTTCTGTGGGATTTAATGAGTCCATAATTGTCTCTGGGTAATTACATTTTTCTTTATATTTTCCAAAATGCAGAACTAAGACCCAAGATGTAATAAACCTCAGTTTGTAGACTACAAACCGATAGAAAGCTTTAGCATGTGTTGTGTGTGCATTTACCCACTTGCTGACAGCGTGCTGTACATGGCGTATCCAGATGTTCTTGTCATCCTTGGAGGCAGCATAAAACTCGTACATCTCAGGAGGGGTGGAATCACTAATCAGATACATGCCTCGCTCCTGATTGGCTATGTCCCTTACTATTAGGTTCTGAAGGGACAGTACTGGAGGCTTGTCCTAAAACGTACAACATGGATAGTTTTAGTGAAATAAAGAGAAAAACTTGTTGTAACTATGTGGTTTTTTCACCCTCGTTTATCTTTTTATTTTCCATTTTAATAAATGACTTAGTTCAGTTACATGAAGGCTTACACACACACACACACACACACACACACGCACACACGCACGCACGCGCACACACACACACACACAGAAAAGATCAGTTGTGGGGAATGGGATGACAAGCGCTCCTAATTTCAGATTACATCCTGATGACTGTTCTCACACATGTGCAACGTCATCACTATCACAAACTCAACGTCATAGCACACACACACACACACA